GGTAGGGCTAGGTTTAAGATTAAGGCCACAATTTGCTTTTACGTTAAGATTAAGACACACTCTGATACTTTATCGCAAGACCACCTATTTTAATTGTGCGGGACCTTTCTTTTCCCGTGTTCCCTTTAGGTAGCCATACAAGTCACCCTTAGCAAAGTTTCTTTTTCGATCGCTTCTCCGTTTTCCTCCTCTTCATTGTCTTCTTATTCCCCTTCATGGACAGATGCTATAAGTGCTTGGTTTTCCTCATTTTTTCCCACATCGTTATCTCAATTCAAGTGCATACGTTGTCAAACGCGGTAGAATTTGTTATAAGTCTATGGTTTGTCTAATACAGATTAGCTTTCTTTCGTAGGATAGACGAAAGACGTACACCCAAAGCCACAAGGTGACACCAAGTACGATGTTTACGTTTTAAACCTCCAACGTAGCACGCAGATTAGGTTTATCGCTGTTTGAAGACGAGATCAGATCGAAGTTCACCCCACGGCTTTCTGCTTAATTTTCTTGAGAATCCTTCAAAGCTTGGCCTACTGCTCCAGCAAGTATTAATTATCATGAGAGTCCCCTCCCTCCAGCCTAGATGTCTCTGAGGTGGAAGACAGCAGAAGTCCGCCAGATAAAAACAGATGAAATTCGAATGACAACGCAAAAATTGCACAACTAATGGGATGCAGATGGTTGCCCCTGTTAACTGGCTGAGGATCGGGTGAAAAGCTAAGGAGTGTTGTTATCCCGCAAACCCATGATGGCAGTTAACCGTAAGGTCCTATGCAAATGACACTCCAGCGATTTCATTGGTTCTCTGTTATTTCCATCCTTGAGTTCTACCAAGGCGCAAATTGACATTTTACTCGCGTTTGTCTTTGTTTATAACTGTTTAAACCCACATCCTTGTAACCGCCTATTAATTTACCTGCTCCTCCGACTCCTATTCACCTACCGCTCTGTGCACATTCGCTCGTGGCCTCTCCTTTTTTGCCGTCCGTAATACGGTTCCAAAAGGAACTATTTAAGCCTGAATAAGTTCAGTGAGAAGATAATGGTCGCAACTACACCTTTCCTTCTTGTGTATCTGTTAGAGTATCATGAACGCAACAATAGAGCTCGAGAAAATGAGAAAATCACTTTAACTTTGAAAACCGCCTCTGAATTGGTTTTGCGTCAGAGCTTCATAAATCTTAAATTTCCACTGCCTATTCTCTTTTAAAAAAACAGCTACACGACTTTAAATCATCCAATAAAAAATGCCTCTATTTTTCTTAAAGACCAGTTTTTTCTTTACCTGCATTGAAGTAGGAACTTTTTAGGTTGATTGGCATCTGATTCTGAACGAACGACGACTTTGGCATCTGATTCACTGCTCGTATATCAGTATACAATGAAGCCAGAAGCGTACTGATTGTCTTGTTATTGGGACTGCCAAGAGTTCCATCCCCGAAGAATGCGGTAACAAAAGGAAACCTGTGTGTCCAGGTGTCCGTTTCACTGGAACCTGACTGTTTTTGTTGTTCTCGCTGAACCGAAGCGAGTTGTAAACATTGCGAGGGGCAGTTTTCTGCTTCTGTCACTGGCACGGGGGCAGCGCAATTATCCTCGCAATTTGCATAACTGTCAGGAGAGGAGGGAACATCAAATCGCACATCTTTGTTGCTGCTAAGCAGGGCGTCGATTGAAAACATGTTACACATGCTGTTAGGTGCGCGTCCGCGTCCGCTTCTTAAACCTGTACGTCGCGGTCTGTAAAATGCTTGTCGATAAAACAAATTCCAATCACTAGCCCTAGTCTTAGTAGCGTTTGACGCCGCACGATTTGTAGTCGATCAGCTAGTGGCTGTCTGGTTTGAGCAGTGTGCAATTGAGTGTGAAAGGCCGGCACTGCAACCACTCAGTAACAACTGCCGGGAGGGTGAGCCTAATGAAACCGAGTCTTGTTTATGCATATCTCTGAAGATGAAAGCACTCACACACACAGACGTATAATTAGCAATGAGGGGGCGGATTTTACTGGTGGGGCCGGACATGATAGCGCCTGAAGTGAATATGCCAAGATCGCAAAGCAGACTTTACCAAAATAAGCGGTGGTAATATTCAAAAGATAGATTTCGAAAAATAATTATCCCAGATAAATGCTGACGATAAAATCATTTCAATCTAATCCGAATTATTTGCCGAAATGGACAGGTTGAAAATTAGTAGGCATGAATACAGGCCCCCTGTAGTATCGTTAAAATGGCAAATGAAATGATTATGAATACCAATATTGGTACATTCGTAGTCGCAACTATGGGTTTGTCTATCAGACGAAGAGGGGAGCACACTATCAGAGACGGACCGAAACCTGCAACGGATAAATGTTATTTGCAATGCTCCATCGCTCCTCAGTTGTGACTGAGGTCCCAAGCAAGGCAGTTGTAATTTTGCAATCTATTTACTACTGGGAAGCAAACAGGCTGAAATTTAGAATAGTATTTGTCATGCCCAACTCCTCTGTGTTTAAAGCCCTATCTGAAGGAGTACTTCAGGTTCGACGGAAAGAGCAGATGAAAGGCAAGCCAACGGGCTTAACCATCTGGGGAATCATCGCAGAGGTTGTCTTGTAACGGTTGGAGTCGCTGGTTTTCTGTCACCACAAATAATAAGTCTGTGGAAGATGCCTTCGTCTTCATCGAACTGTATCAGGTTCTGGCGGACTACAAACAGTTCACCGCTACCTTCCTGGATAGGAAAAAGCAGCTGAGAACTAATTGGCCTTGCTTGATGTTCTCGTCTTCCGAAAAGATGACAGTGATCTAAAACCTGTAGTATGTAGGGAAGTGACAAATACGAAGCTACACCAGCAGGCACCCCATCGATAAAGGAAACTTCAGTTGCGTAAAAGCGCTCTATTGGTGTGTGGAAACACCTTGTAGTGAACCGGAAAATGAGGTTCTCGAATTCAAATTTATTTGACGAAGGCTTAGAGCGAATGGCTGTCTCAGCAACTTTGTCAACCAGCACACCCGTAA